ACTGACTGTGCAGGGTTTCAAACTACCTATCTCTCACTGAATCTTTCACTCTTGGTTTCTGGCTCCTTTTACTGAAGAGACATTATCACATCTATCTCCACAGGACTCTGTATCGTCTCCTCCTGTGCATCTGCTGTATGCAAAGACTTCATTCCTTCTGTTTGCCTTGTAAGGAGTCTACCCCTCACTGTCCCACCCTCACCCAGCTGAGTTGTTTCCAGATCTTTTTTAGTTACCTCTGATGAAGTCGGCTGGCGTTTAGCCTCATTCTTTCACTTTGGAGTGAGTAGAATCTAGAAACAGACAAAATGTTTCCAGGTGAGTCAGACAAGCATGAAAAATAGCTTAGCAACTTGGGGCTCCTCTTGACTTGGGCTATGCATACACCCCTGTTATGATAATGCACTTGGCAACTTGAGACCCTTACTTACATGTACTATGCATATACACCCATCTCCAGAAAAAGAATCAGCAACCTGTTAGTTTCCTAGGATCCTCAGCTGCATACACATCCCTTTCTGAACAGAGTAAGTTTTGCCTCCTTTTAAGAATCATCAAACTTAGATTCTATTCAGTTATATTCCAGTTATGTCTGGATAGAAGGTAAGGGTGCCAATCTGGTCAAAACTGGTTTCAGATACATCCTCTGAGTAAACTTTTAGGGAGAATCCCATTTACCACTTTATGCATATGCATAGTTAAGTATGCATTATGGGATAGGACATGCCCCCAAATACAAGGTTACCTAATCCAAGTCTGTCAATCAAAACTACATCCTTTAGCAACCAAACTCGTCCTTTCTTGAGTCATATAAAAGAAAGTCCAATGATGGGACTGGGGCAATCTCACTAGTGTGGTCTACTGTCACACTTGACAACATTTCTTTCTGACCTGCACTATTGCTTTGTTTTGAATAAAGTGTTGCTGCTACTCTGCAATCTGTATAGACCCTTATTTCATTCTTGAATAAGATGCCAAGAACCTGGAAACAACCAATAACAGACTTCTTATATGCTCATTTCTAATAAGCCTTCTAGACACAGATTACGAATTTAGCTTAGCACTCATAGAGTTTCTTGAACTGGAAACCTGTAAAATTATTTTTAAAAAACCAAAACAGAAATACTGTACACTAATTTTGAGACAGGGTCTAATTCTGTGGCTCAGGCTGGGCTGAAAGTAACTATGCAGCACCAAGCAGACCTCAAACTCATGATAATCCTCCTGCCTTCACCTCCTGAGTGTTGGGATTATAGATGTAAACCACCATGTCTGGCTTACATTAATTCAAATGGATTCAGAACTGTTCTGATTCTGCATTAAAAAGTGAGGCCACTACTCGTATTCAATAAAAATACTTACTGAACAGATTATCCGAGTTGATTGCAGGAGCCCTGTCATCATGGTATAAGTCTTAAATAGGTGTCATTTAGGCCTGGGCACTTCATAGACAATATCTGTGTATGCCCAGTTATAGAAAGTAGTAATAGTCTCTGTCTGATGCAAAAGAAGATTCTTTGGGCTCATGGAACATAGAACAGGGGTAAAGAGGTCACTAATGAATCTCTTACCTCTCAATGAAGTTCCCTCATGCAACAGAGGACCAGGAACACAAAAGGTCACAAATGGCCAAAGCATAGAGAGGCAGAATGCTGGTCCTTGGACAGGACTTCTATATTAAAACTTCATCCACCCAGGTCTCAGGGACCATTTTAGAAGGGGGCCAGAAAGATTGTAAGAGCCACAGAGGAGGTACGCAACCATATGGAAATAGAATCCTACAAGCTCCTGGGACCCTGCTCATATGAATCTACAGAAATGGTGTCAGTGTACACAAGTCCCATGCTAACTCAAGCAGACAAAAACCCAGCATAGAATTGGGGATGGGGAAATGGACAGCAAACTCCAATCTTAGCTAAAAAAACTGATTACTGCTAGGTAAGGAAGAACTGATCTTCCTAAAGCAAGGGACTCTAGATAAGCTGATTAGACATAAGTAGATGAACTTGCACTGAGGAATGTCTGGGAATATTAACACAATAGGCCTAAACACAAATGACAGAATGTATGAATTCCAGTGGGAGGGCTATGAGAGAGTGCCAGTGGGGACAGGGGTAAAAAGTTGATTAAGATTGATTGATGTGTTCTGTATGAAATACACAAAAATTCAATAAAAACAAATTTAAAGTTAGATGAATCCTAATATGTATGTACTAAGTAATTGATTGAACATGACAGAAAACATAAACCCACTTTTTGATTTAGAGTTCTACAGTCTCTTCCTGGCCCCTTACCCCCACTAGCTAAAGATAAGCTTCTTAAAGACATAAAAGAAGAAAGATCGGTGAAAGACCCTTTCATGGTTAGGCTCCTTCCTCATTTTTTCTGAGATTACTCCGACCTCTTCACTGTCCAACAGCATGCTCTCTATGACTCTGACTTGAGTTCCTTGCTTTTTAATAATATACTTCTTTTTTATTTTTCCCCCCTTTGAAACAGGGTCTTATGTAGCCCAGGATGGCTTCCAACTCACAATGTAGTTGAGGGTAACCTTTGAACTTCTGATCCTTTTGCCTCTATATCCTGAGTGCTAAGATTAGAGGCTTGTGCCACCATACCCAGTTTATGTGATGCGAGGGACCAAACCTAGGGCTACGTGTATGCTTGACTTCTCCAGGCCTATTTTTATCAAATACTTAATAAACCATCATTCATTAGATCCCAAAGTGTATTTGTGTTGATCACACACTTGGCACTGTCCCAAGTGCTGGGTAACCCAATGACTGCAGGTCTTAGGGCTCAAGAGGAATGCATTTAACACAGAAACCACAATAGGCCATAAGATCTATGACCCTGGGTGGAATGCCCAGGAGCTACATGAGCACAGGATTTGCAAAACACTGGCAGAGTAGGTCAGGAAGGCCTTCATGATGCTGAAACTGAATGAATCCAGGAATGGGGGTGGGGTGAATGCATGCAGGATTGGGAGGAGGAAGGTAAAATTTCCAGAGAAGAGAGGCAGGGCAAATGCTCTTCTTCATCTCCTTAGCTATTATTTTCAACATCCTTTTGGGATATCTTCTGGGGCAGAGGTTATTAGCTGCCTATGGAAATCTATCTTTTTTCTGAAATTAATAGAACAGCTACAAACATTTATCAAAGCAAGGTGTGGTGGTACACAACTTTAATCTGAGCACTCAGGAGGTGGAGACAGGCAGATCTCTGGGAGACTGAACCAGTCTAGTCTACATAGCAAGTTCTAGGCCACCTGGGGCTACAGGAAGACCTGTCTAAAGAAAAGAAATATTTATCAACCTCCCTTGCATTCAGGCATTTGTGTCTCCATGACGAAAAAGGAGCATGTTATTCTTTACCCTTCTCTATCTATGTGTGTGGAAGGTGGATGTGACAGTAAGACCTCTTAACAGACATCTTGCACCACAAAGAGGGAACACAGCAACAAGCATAGCAAACAAGGGAACTGTGGGCTGGAAAGGACAGCATGACTCCGACAATTTAGCAACTTCCTTTATGTAGGAAGCAGATAAAGTATCTTCCTTTCAGTTATATTTTGGTCATATTTCTTGGCCCCTCCCATCTGCTATCTATGCAGCTAAGCCTAGATCACAATTCTTATTTTCTTTTCGTAATTATAGCTCACCCCATGAAGTGATGGTTCTGACCTGTCATTCATATAGTTTCCAGTGTAGTTGAGAAATTTCTGTTTTCTTGAAAATAGAAGCAGCCAGCCGAAGAACTGACCCCAGGAAGAGAAGTTCATCTGTCTGAGGGCAGTTTCTACTCTGGAGTTGATCTCTGGTGAACCCTGGTCTCTAAACACACAGAATGAGTGACAGTGTGGAAGCTACTTGTGTTAAAAGTTGAACTGTCCCATGATTGTTCTCCTTCTTGATCTCCACCCCTAACTCAGAACTCATGCACATTTGCATAAAGAACATGGGTCACTGTGGATTGGGCTCTCATTGCTCTTTAAAAAGCTTGAGCTGCCTGCCTTTCTGCAAACACCCAGTTTTCACCGACTGTCCGTCCTTAAGACTGTATGGTATATGGGCTTCAAAGGCCATCATGGAAAAAAAGGCAAGTGAAACTAAGAAAAAAAGGAAAGAATAGTTAATCTGCATATGCCCACTAAATGCAGAAAGACAAGGGAAAAAGCAGAAACACATTTACAATATCAAAAAAACAAAATCACTTTTTAATTTACTTTCTCTGAAGCTGAGCACTTGCTCTTTATTAACTTTAGTCTTTTGAGTGATTTTTTTCTGTCGTAAGCACTTTCTAAAAAATCATTTTTGCACATTTCTCAGATATATCAATCCTTCTGGCATTCTTCTATGCACACATTATGGTACCCTAGCTCTAAATATAAAAGACTTTTATTATGTCCATTAACCATGGACATATGTGCTCCAAAAGTTTCCTGACACGCAGTCATTTGTGGTTTTTTAATTATAAACAGAAAATATTCACTAGAAAAATAAAGAAGTGAGCCCATAAATATATCTTTATGCATTTGTGTTTTGTTTGTATATGGCAAGATGACTGGATAAACGGTTCTCCCAGTTGCCAGCAGCAGCATGTGAGCGTGCATGTGTTTATATATGCCCAGACACACACCCATTCACATGTACAATTGAATCCACGCACTGCACAGAACTTAAACATCTGTAATCGTGGGTACTGCTGTCTTGCTTCTAAAATAAGCGTACAGAGTTTTCTTAGCCTCACCAAATCTTCTTCCATCCAAAGAATTAAATGGGAAAGAAGGTGACCCCAGTAAACTACTTGACAAACAAAGTCGGGTTTATTGAATGCGTTTTATTTTAACAACCAAAAAATTCTAACAGCCTAATGCACATAAGTTAAAAATTAATTATCACTTAGTGATAACAAAGATAGTTGATTTACATGGAAAAAAGAACATTTACAATATGTTAACCCTTATTCACATTGTTGATACTGCAATAAAACACGATTTGTTTTTTTTTTTTTTTCATTTCACAAAAAAAGGCGGGAAATTGTGCTTTGTCAAGAGGCACTACAAGAGAAAGTTTCTTCTTCCAAATAGATATTATATGACAGATATTGAATAAATAGACATATATGCATTGTAATTCGCAAAGATCTGGCAAGACCACAGGCTAAAATGCCCACAGATTCACTTAGAACCACTGCAAACTTGGCAGTGAAATTAAAAAATAAAAGGCAAGACTTAGCATTGAAAAATACCTAATAAATTTTTGGTTGAAGTGTAAAAGATACCAAATGCGGATGCCATCGATCGATGAACTACCTGTAAGAGCTTGGCAACAAATCGGTGTCTAGGGTGTATACAGAGTGACTTCAGCAACAGTGTCAGAAGACAATTTGGAAAGAGTAACTGGGAGATCAGGAAGCAGCAACCATATGGACTTTCTGCTTAAAGCTGCAGCACACTACAGAAACGGGAAGGCCAGGCCAGGCCGGAACTGCAAACTGCCATCTTTTTGCAAAGATACATGACGCTCAGGTCAAGGTAATTTTTTTTTAAACATCGTATTTGAAAAAGTACAGGAAAATGTCCCTTTAAAAACTCCAGAGGTTACTGAGCAGCTAGAATTAGCTTGTATTGCAACATGTCTTCTCCCTGTATAGTGTAAGTTCTGAGTTAATATCTACACATAGAGGTTTTATTTTTTAACTCCTGCCTTTTATACCTTTCAAATATATAAATAGTATTAACAGTTATATTACAATGTTTGTGTAGTAAACAGAAAATAACTTTCAAAGTGATATTGCATGAGGTCTTTGACAAGGTTGCATGAGAACACAACTCAAAAAAAAAAAAAAAAACCAAAAAAACAAAACAAAATCCAACCATGTGGGACTGCTGAGTGGCCATCTCAAGCCTGGAGGAAGTTGTGGAGGCCAGTCCCAAAGGGGAGGTCTCTTCTTGCGATCACTGTCAGTGGAAGGTAATGCTACTGTTTCTAATAGGAAGATGAAGGAGATTTGGCAAACTATAGTAGGTTGCAGCTTTAATGCTCATTCCGTGAAACAGCCTGTTGACATTAGTTCTGCTTTATGTAAGGTAACTGCTATGTGGGGCACTGGGACAGTATTTCCTTCCCAAGGAGTAGGTGATTCTACTGAAATCACTTCACTTACTCTGTTGCCTGGAGGTGCATGATTCCAAACCAGGTTCCTGTTAGGGCTGCCATAGCAGGGGAAGGGGCCGAGGCATGAGATCATGGTTTGCAAAGCCTTGGCTAAGGTAGATGGGATGTGTACAAAGAAGAGAGAGTCCAAAGTGAAAGAGGAGTGAGAAATGCTTGGGGAAAGGGACAGATGGAGACTGATTTGGGTGGGAGTCCCTCTAACTGGGTGCAACTTCTTTCTCTAACTTAACATTAAACTGAACTATATTCTATTTAAAAAAACAGAAACGGACAACAAAAAACAACAGTAACAACTTTAAATGAGCAGGCTTAATAATTTTAAGATTTGAAGCCACAAGCAGGTAAATAAACTTCACAACAAAATGTGGCTCATAGTATGAATTCCATAAGTCCAACGTCAAAAAGTCATTTTTTGAGACTGCACTAATGGACAAGTTTTCTCAGCACTGTATTTCAGCTTTACTCATTTGGAATTCCACAGAAATGCATCTGTTCACTACAGTGATGACAAACTGAATAACGGAACGTATTGAGTCATTTCATTGAGTCATTTTAAGTGTGCATTATGTCTTTAAAAGTACTTTGTCTTGTATCATTTTTAATGTGCCCTGATTTTTTTCCACTTATTCTCTTCTTCCTCTCTCTTCCTCTCTCTCTCTCTCTCTCTCTCTCTCTCTCTCTCTCTCTCTCCTTTTTTGGCAGTGTTGATTTATTTTGTTAAATACATACCTCAAAAATTACCCATTAAGCTGCCAGATAGGAAGCCATAGAATTTAAAAAAAGAAATCAGGGACAAACACAAAAAATAAATAGGAATTCAAAAATAGTCACCCCACCCTGAGAGCAGGCCGCAGTTTATCAAAAAGCCAAAGCGACTCACTGTGAAGTGTTTTTTTTTTTAATACATAAACAAGTCTTTTCTTTAAGAACTCATTTCACAGTCTATTCTTTCAGATTGTAAAGTTCTCTGTCCCATGCAATTTTAATATATATATGTAAATATAGAGATATGTACATATACATATACACACACTTGTAGCCTCCTTCGTTATTTCTTGGGTCGTTCCATCCTGGAACTTGCCTGGTGTCTCTTCCAGGGGCAAGGAGAATGAAGGCAGAGTCTCCCGTGACTAGAATTACCATGGTCCAGTCAATTGTAAAAGTGTAACACTTAGTGTCTTTGCCAAGGCGACGTCTGATTCAGAAATACTGAACTTAGTCTATAGGCGTATCCTGTGCAACAAAGGAATGCCATAAGGGTAAGAAAAATAAAACAGACATTAAAACAAAACAAAACAAAACAAAACAAAGCCAAAAAGATTTTAAAGAAACTAAAACCGAAAATCCTTGGACCGATATATTGCTTTGCCTGGAAGGAGTTCACATTATCTCTGGTCAGTATCGGCAGGCGCCGCCTTGCTTTTCTCCGCGTCCTCCTCGGCCTCCACCTTGTACATCTCCTCGGAACCCTCCTCACTGTCGTTCTCCTCCGACTCGGTCAGCAGCTCCTCGTCCTTATACTCGGCCACGTCCACCGCGGAGCCCAGGTGCTCCTTCAGCTTCCCATGATGCTTCACGTGGTACCTCTGGTTCTGGAAGAACTTGATGATGGTGTGTTTGGGGAGATCCAGCTGGGCCGACAGTGTGTGGATGGCTTCCTGGTCAGGGTAGAGGCCCACATCATGGATGAAGCTCTGGAGGATCCCCAGCGCTTCTAAGGAGATCTTTGTGCGAGACCGAGGCTTTTTGGCACAGCTGTCTTCAGTAGTGGGAGGTGGTGGCGGCGCTTCTTCTCTGGGAGGGGAGCTCTCCTTTGTGGGCTGGGACTGCTGTCTGTGGAGGACCTGATAATCAGAATGGGAAGAAGTGAGTGCCTGGAAGATCTTACCTTTGTAACATCTGTAAGCACTATCTCACACTGCACTTAGGCAGTTGTTAGGCAAGTCTTTGTAAAACAGTATTTTTGGAGATTTAGAATCTTATCTACAAAACAACAGATTCACAGGAGTCATGTGAGCTGGACATGGTTGTGCACACATGTCTCCTTGTGCTTAGGAGGCTGAGGCAGGTGGACTGCCACAAGTTTGAGGTCAGCGTGGGCTACACAGTAAGTTTAAAGCTAGTCTAGACTGCATAACAAGACCCTGTCTCAAAAACAGCAACATAAAAAGAAAACAATACATTAAAAGAGTTGTGTGCTCCAGTACTTAGGTTGTGAGGCACTAAGAAGCCAAGTCATTTGTTGCCTGAGATCATCTGAACTCAAGAGGGTTGGCTTTGGATCTTCTCTATCCTTAATTCCCATCTGGACATGCCACCCTCTGAAGGCTAATGACAGACAGCCGACACAGGAAAACAGGGCTTTCAGATACCATAGCTAAAGTTTGGTCTCTTCTACTTAGCTTAGAACCTTGGGCATGCCACTCAGCCTTTGGGCCTCCAAATTTCATAGTGTGTCAAAGAAGGAGGGGCTGGGAAGCTTTTTCAGTAGTCACCATCTTAGGCTTTGTAAGGCCATCCCATCTCTACTCAATTCTATTCAGCATCAGCAAATGAGCTTGTTATGTTCCACTGAGACTGGATTTGTCCCAGGGGATTGTGGTTAGCCCACCTCTGGCTCAGAGCAAGCTTCCAAGTAAATGGTAATTGGTACTACCACCCCCAGGATTGCTCCTCAGGTGTTACAGAGAAGTAGCTGGAAATAGCTCAGCTACGGTAACTGAACCAGAAAATTAGGAAGACATTTTCTTTTACTTTTGATTCTGATACTTAAATATGATTTAAATATATATCCATTTTCAAAGTAATTCAAAGATCTAACTTCTGTAAATTATGAATTTTAATTGTTTCATACATGTTTAGATGGGTATTTTTAAGTGTCACTATAAACTAATTAATCCTCTGTTTTGAGCAGACTTCCAAATTTCTATTTTTTTAAATCCTTAATTGCAAGATTTCCTAGTTGTTATAATTTAAATAATTCCTTCTTACATAAACAATCCTCTTCTCTATCTATTCCCACACTCATTTAAACAAAAGGAAACCCTAAGTAGGTAAGCCTACTCTGATCTTCATCATTTAAACAAAAAGAAATCCTAAGTAGGTAAGCCTACTCTGACCTTCATCATCACCATTATTACCATGCATGGAACAGCTTCCTCTTCTAGTTTTAACTTACTAACTTGCTCAGTGTGATGACAGAAAGACACTGATACAAGGAGACCATCTGCATTCACCACAGGCCTGGGAGAGGACTTCATGAAAGTGGAAAGGGAGAGTGTCACTTGTGCAGAGCCTCAGCCACTCTCACAGCTGACCTGCAGCTGCCTGTCACAGAGTTAAAAGGAGACTGTGATGACCCTCTGGACATGTGTGAGGTCACCTGCAGAGCTGAGCGTGTTCCCTGTGCTCAGATGGTACCCAATGTTCTGTATCCTACCAAGATCTTCTACAATAACAAGTTCACTTTAAAAAATATTCTTCTTCATGGTGCTAGAGCGATAGCTCAGTGGTTGAGAGCACTGACTGCTCCTGCAGAGGACCTGAGTTCGATTCCCCAGCACCCACATGGCAGCTATGAACCATCCTTAACTCCAGTTCCAGGGGAATCCGACACCCTCTTCTGACGTCCATGGCATTGTAAGACACTGGTGCCCTCACACACATGAAGGCAAATATACTCATACCCATAGGGTTTATACTGAGTACAATGTTGTATAACTGTAATAATTCAACTATAAAACTAAAAATTTATAGCCAATTTTAAAAAAGATGCATCTTAGCTCAGAAAATTGTTATTGAATATGTCAATGCTATTGTAATGAAATGCTTCTTCTAAGTATGTGGTTATTAAATAATTAACTGGAAAAAATATTTTTGAAAATATGTTTCTTATGCAACATTTTTCAAATTAAGAGTCCCAAATTACACATTTCTGAGTGAAAGGTGATTCCATCCAGGTAATGCAAAAGAAAAGACTCATCCCTGGCCTCGTCCCCACCCAGCACCATTCTTATCATCTGGGCAGGAGCCATGTGGCCACTGTTACAAGAGAATCAGCACCAAAGTGAGTAGTTCTGTGCCTTTCATACCAGTCTCAGGGTCCCTATGATAAAAAAAAAAAAAAAAAACAAAACAAAAAAAAAAAAACCCTCTCTCACTAATGTGAAAATGTCAGCTCTCTATAGAGAATTTAGTAAATAGCAGAGGAGATAAAATAAGGCAACAACAGAAAAAGCTTAAATTCATTCAAATGACAATTACTGACTAATAAACACCAGTAGGCAGCCAGGCACAGTGGTCCACACCAATCTCAGCAGTTGGGAGGTGGAGAGGGAAGAATCACAAATTCAAGCCAAACCTGGGCTACATAATGAGGCTATCTGCTACAATAAACTGATGGCTAGTAGAGGGGAAAAAAATCTAAATCACAGCACTATAAAATAGTGGGACTAAGGTCCAAATGGTGTTGACCAATTAAAATCAATGTTCTTAGCATTTTCTTTACCACTTTCAACTAAGCACAAACTCATGTGGTCTGATGTGGTATGCTGGCATCAGCAAAATAAGTGAGGGCTCCCTAACTTCAACATCCTAATTATTCCCGCCAGGGAAAGTGGGGTTGTGTGGTGGGCTTGCATAGCTCACAGCGGCTTTGATGGCAGGAAGATATGTGCTCCGGGGCCATGATGTGGGCGGCTTGAGCACAGCAGTAAATAAGCATCTGTGTCAACAGGTGGGGATTTCGGGTTTGGGGGAGAGCAAAGGACTGAAATTAGGTACAGAGGAGCACAGACTACAAGGACGTGGTCTCAAACACGAGGACTCCTTATTAGAGCAACTGCGTTAATTGGAAAACAAAAGAGAATTAAAATGTCCCATTTTCTAAATTATGCTTGCTTTCTGTAGTAAAAGTCAGCAGAACGGTTCCACTTAATTGAATAATTAGATTGGTTCTTAAGGGGTTTTCCATTGTGCATTGAATAGATTTAAAGAGATTTTCCAAAACTATACTTTGAAGTTACTATAATCTTTCTGCATGATAGCGTTTGTTCTCCTTAGGCCTCACCAGTTGGACTACCTCATTCCCCTCGTTTCTCAGAACACGGCACAATAATATGAATGCACAAAGAAGTCAAATAGAAAAAAGAGCAAGAACGATAACAGTGACTGCTCACTCAGTACTCATTTGGTGCCAGGTAGTCCTAAAATAGATGAACTAAAATGTAATCCTGCAGTTCCTCATGAAGGTGTTAGCTGGCCCAAGAACAAACTAGAAATGCAGTACATCTTAGAAGAATCCTCTAAACTGGAAATCCTGAGCACAGGGAGATGTGAGGCTGAGAAAATAGGCTCCCAGGGGCACTGATCACCATAGGCTCCAAAGTTGCTTCTAAAAAGAAACAAGAGTAAATTGTTGTTTCTGAGCAGACAATATACAATAGGGGATTGGTGAGGATGACAATATAGACATGAAGAGGTTATGTATTAATTCTAGAATCCTCCATCAAAGAAGGAAAGAGGAGTCAAAATACAGAAAACAGAATGAGCTCCTCTGAAATGAAACTACCTTGCAAGTTACCAGAAGAGCTGTCTTTTTCTCTTCTACCGCTGCTTATCTTTGGCTATAGCTTTCTTCCAACTATGGTATATACAATACCTCAGTGAAAAGAGTCTCAGACTTTACCTGCCCCAACTTACTTCACTTCTCCAAAATGTTCTAATTCCTCTAGACAAAGAATTACTATCTCTAGGCACTTTCTACAAAAGAACTGCATAATCTCCTCTCTAGCCAACTCCTAAGAATTCTTAATGTGTAGTATACTTGAAGAAAGTACTCTAAGCAAAAAGAAGGTAGAGCCTGACATTTATAAGATGGTCTCACTTACAAGATGGACCTCCCCAAGGAGGAAACTCAGTCTGAGCACTCTCTAAACTCTTCTCACCTAAAGGGTATGTGACTTGGCATCAATTTTCATATTCTCATTCTCTCTCTCTCTCTCCCTCCCTCCCTCCCTCCATCTCTCCACTAGTAATCTCATTTCCGTTTCTTACAGGACAGGTTTGTAAATTTATAAAGTCTCACTTTGCTGAACTTTCACTTTTCTGTCTTCATTTCTCAGAGCAGGCTCTCTAGCAGGCTCTCTCAGTAACTGGTATGAGTCCTTTAGTCTCTGTCCCAAGCAAACTCCCTGAAGGTCATTTCACTGATTCCTGGTGAACAGATATATATAAGCAGTCTCATTCCTGGGCTTGGTGGACAGTTCATGTATTTATTTATGGCTAGCTAGTTTTTTTTTCTTTAAATTATAAAAACCACACTTCAGTCAAGACAGGAAATACCAACTAACCAAATAGATATTCTTTTCTAACTATGTCTTCCTATGCCCAGGTTATAGTATTTGGGCTCTCTTTTCTTTTTTTTCTTTTCTTTTCTTTTCTTTTTTTGCGACAGGGTCTCTCTGTAGCACTAACTGACCTGAACTGGAACTTGCAATGTAGACCAGGCTGGCCTTGAACTTACAGAGATCAGCCTGCCTCTGCCTCCTGAGTGCTGGGATTAAAGGTGTGCACAACCACGCCTGTCATGAAGAAGAAAAACTAAGAACATACTGTAATGGGAAACACTGCAGCAACAAACACCAGCATGTTACCTTTGAGAGTTACTGAATGAACATACCCTTCTGGGTATGTTGGTATTGACTAAAGGGGTATAAGTTTGGGAGCTAGAGCAATGGCTCAGCAGTTAAGAGCACTGGCTGCTCTTGCAGAGGATTCGGGTTCAAATCCCAACACCCACATGGCAGCTAACAGCCATCTGAAACTCCAGTTCCAGGGGATCCAA